TGGAAATTTGTTGCATGTGGATGTTATTTATCAATCATAGACCGGATGCTCAAATAAATTCAGGACTCCTTTTAAGTTATGGTTCCTAAGAAATTAGTAGATCTGTCACACTAGGCTAGAGTAGAACTTGGATCATTGTATCGAACGATGAAAATAGTTCGTGAATCAGCTGGTCGTTATTTTCAGACGGAAATTATTTCATCGCTGAAAGAAGGTTATCGGCACTTGAAATTATGAAGAAATGAATCGCAAGATTTTGTAATTCTTATTCTTATTAAAGGTCACATGAGTTGCTGATGAGGTATGCAATGATAATAATTAAGGTAGGATAGGAGTATTTCGGTGTGAATCACACCAAGATAACCCAAGTCCGAAAACTTGTTTCCAGTGGGATCCTTCTGGTGGTGGTAGTAGGCCTACACAGGGAGAGAATCCAATACTCTTTAACGTGCACATGGACCATAATGTACACGGGACCACCAACGGCTTAAACGTCTCATCCGAAAGACGGTGCGCTATCGTAACTTGTATTGCAGCCCTCCAGCTGAAACACAAGGAGTGGCAGTGATGGAAATTGAACCGCGGACCTGGAGATCTCCACGGTTTAGCGCACACACAGTGGCTACCACCAGTTTAGCAATACAATGATGATGTTGATGATGATATTGATGGCCATGGCGATGCTGATGATAACGATGACCATGATGATGACGATGAAGAAATAACATATGAGGATGAATCTGATGGTGCTGATGGTGATCATGGTGAATTGAAGAAGAAGATAAAGATCCAGGTCTCTTCGGTGGGGTCCAGGCCCCAGCAATTCAACAATTCAGAGATTTGAAATGGTTAGTTTTGGATTCATATAACCTGTAACATTACATTTATGTCTCAAACGGGGCCATAACCAACATTCCATTGATCTAGACGAGTAAATACTGTGAGTAGCCCTAGATAATGCTGTGCAACTGTTGAAATTCCCTATACAGGGAATAGCCGTGGTGGCCTGACCGCAACCTCCGTATTTACCGTTCGTCATCCTGTCTCTATATATGGAAATATTATTAGTGTGATAGATAGGTAAGGAAATGATCTGCAGTATAACGATAAGAGGTGACAATCAGTCACACGGAACGAGGAGTTTGGTGGCATTTGATGTACTACTAACCGACATAATTATCGCTACTTCTGGGATGTCGATATCGCAGGCTCGTGTCGTACGTGGGTTGCAGATTTGTGGTAGTGAATACATTTATTTTTAACTTAAACATAGGCTTATACGTATGCCTACAATAAACGTGTATATATATATATATATATATATATATAAATTTATATATATATATATATATATATATATATATATATATATATATACAAATGAATAAATAAAAATAAAATATTGTTACCAGGACTGCTGCTGCAACCACTACACTACTACTACTACTAGGCTACTCTAAGGCCTACAGTAATAGGTGGATTCGAGTAAAATGACCAATAAATACAATAGGAACATTAAATGTTCGAAGATTTATTTACTAAAAACATCCTTGAACTGATTACCAGCCAATAAAGGCCGATTAGATGTATGTATAAATACACTAATAAACATTTGAATATTTCATATTTATTTCACCGTTCGTATGCAGCCAATACAAATACATGTATATATATGACTGCTGTCTCTTATACACATCTAGATGTGTATAAGAGACAGGGTTAAAGAAGAGGAATTTACAAATGTGAAA